TGAAGTCCTAACCACCCATACTTAGATTGTGACCTTATTTGGAAGTAAGATTATTGCAGACATACTTAGTTAAGGTGAGATTATACTGGAATAGGGTCATTGTAAGAACATGGCCATGTCAAGACCGAGACCCGAGAAAAACACCATGTGAGATTGCAGATAGGCACCTGCCAGCCAAAGACCTCCAAGAATTAACAGCCACCACCAGAAGCTAGGAAGTCTCATTCCCACCTGATGCTGCTGCTAGATGACTATCAATGAAATTAAACTTTCATCACATGTCACTCAACTAGTCAAAATCCCCAAGTGCCTAGTAACCACCGGATTCATGTGCCATCTAAAATTCTACATTAACAGTCCATGCTAACTTCCCACTACAATCTCATCTGTATATTCCCAATAGCAAAGACTTTGCAACCATCGTGCCAGAAGTCTCCATAATGTGCCTCTCACTTTCTAACCCTAGCATATGTGCTCATCCTATTCCAATCGTCTGGAACACCTGTGCACCTCCCCTTGTCCAAATCCTATGATTGCTTCATGTCCCACGTAATACCCTATTCTCTATAAGAGGGCTGTTCTGGCTTCTTTCCTTCGTACAGTATTATCTCCTTCTCCCCTGTACTCAATTAACACACTTACAGCACTTCCCGTGTTTTCTTTTGTATTTTGCCTTCATGTGTAGTCATTCATGATCTTGGCAATCCACCTTTTGGACTATAAGCCATTTAAGGGCAAAAATGTGCTTTATTCATCTCTGGTTTCTTACACTCTATTGCCATACACATGTAGTCACTTAATAAATCTACCTTAAATTAGCCCTACAAGTTAAGAGAGTTCTGGCTCCAAAATGGAGCCTTGAGACACGCTGGCTTTACTCCCCACCATGGCAAACCAAACCCAAATATACAGTGTCAGGATTATCACCAGAAATATCCCAGGACTCAGATAGGAGGCAAAGCCCTTTTCCAGGGGTCGCAGAGAAATGAAAAACTCCTGGCACATGATAAAAGAATCGTATTTCCGGCCAGGCACCATGGCTCACACCTGTAATCCCAGCACTCTGGGAGATTGAGTCAGGCAGATCACAAGATCAGGAGTTTGAGACCAGCCTGACCAACATGGTGAAATCCCCGTCTCTATTAAAAACACAAAAGTTAGCCAGGCATGGTGACATGCACCTGTAATCCCAGCTACTCAGGAAGGTGAGGCCGGGGAATGGCTCGAACCTGGGAGAACGAAGTTGCAGTGTGCCAAGATCACTGCACTCCAGACTGGCGACAAAGCAAGACTCCATCATATTTCCATATCCAGGTGCCCTTCCCTTCAATCTGCCTGGCACCAAGAATATAAACAATTTCTCCCAACTCATGGTTCCTGCACTGAAAAAACTGAGATCTGAGGTAGACAATCAGCTTCCCCAATATCTTGCATTTCCTAGAAGTAGGCTTCTCCTTGCCTCAACCCATGAAAATCATCCTGAGCCCCTGAAGAGAAATATCCCTGAGCTTAGCCAGAGACAAAGGCAAAGGAGGAACTCTCATCCCCAGGCCTGGAGACTCTGCTCTGTAACTCGACCAAAGGAGACGCCAAATCAGAGTGGCTCTTCAGTAACAACATGTTGTAGGAGGTGCATTCCACAGGTCCGCTGGGCAGGAACCCCTAGCCAGTGTTCCTTTTTGCTATGACCTCTGAATTTTCCTTTGAGTTTCTATATCAGTGCTCACATATGGCTGTCTCATTAACGTCATAGCAAAAATTCAATGTCATGCAGAAAAGTTCGTAAAACTTTTGGGCTCCCCCCAAAAGATGACTGCCTACAGAGTCTGGGTCACATCTGTCCAAATTTACCAGAACTATCCCCTTACTCTGTCACTTACATGCAAGTTTCCTACCTCTAAACCTCTCTACTGCCAAAGCTGAAGGCATCTAATGATTTAGCTGAAGGAAATGCTCTCCACAAGCATGAATTGCCATCAAAATCACGCAAATTTTGATGCGTGAAATCTAAGTATATTATTTTACTTTCTCAGAGGTAATCGTAATATATTTCCTGCTATGCACAAGCTTTGAGAATCAAGATATTTTAAAACGCTGTTAAATCATATTATTAATCAAAAAGGAAAACAAAGTACAAAGGACAAGAACTAACATTAGCTAGCGACAGATGCCATAAATCTCTTATCTCATTTAATCTTCAAAACTACCCGTGGAGTTTATCTTCACCCTGTAAAATAAAAAATCAGGGAAGAGGGAGGATGTCAGAGTTAAACTCCCTGACTAGGCACAGTCAGCTTCAAACCCAGGTGTAACCCCTAGTACCATGTTCTTAACATCACACCACACTTTCTCCCAGAAAGTAAGGGCATAACAGTAATGATCACTAAACAGCCTATTCTGTCATGCTAATCAGGGAAACAGATTAAACAGATGAGAGCTCTATCAGCTGCATAATTTAGCATTAATTATTTGGTGAGTGCACCGCATTCATTTTGAGTTTTAGGTTCAGAGGATGGTTAACTTCATCCAATCCTATTTTTCTAGCCAGGATGTTGAAGTTCATTGCCTGATAAAATTTCATGCAACTAATAGTTTTGTGGTATTACCACATAATTATGGAGAATAATTGGTTGGCAAAAACAATGAACTGCATTAACTTAGTCTTAAACCTGGACTATAGAAACTGAATAACACCTGAAAGGTACATAGTGAACATTTTTAGTGTTCTTCTTTTTGAAAAGCTGTTTTGATTTTTAAAATTTTTTCCCAAGAAAATTAACCTAGAATTATCATTTCAAATGTAGTCTTTGACCTTTTTGTATTTGTATTAAAAATTTTTGACTTTGGATGAGTAAGATTCTACTGAAGGAAAGACAGTTTGTACTCATTTTAATACTAAAATGTATCATGATAATTTTCACTTATTACTCATAATTTTCTGATTCTGTCATCCTCAATTGTAGTTTGATGTTAAAGAAATTTAAAGTTAAATCTTGACTTCTAACTGCTCTCTGTTGAAAATGTCTTTATTGGATTTTAGAAGGATAGGATTCTAAAACACAGTAGTGAAACGTTATAGAACCTCGAAACAAAAATTAAGTAGACTAAATTCTTTCTATATTAAATTGAGAGTTTCTAGCTACTTAAACAATGAAAATCAGATCTCTGTTATAATATTTAGGGTGAGAGTGTTAAAGAAATTGATGTATGACTCACTTTAGTATTTTAGTTTACTTTAAGTAAATTTAAGGAGATCTAGAAGAGTGTGTGTTTCCTTCTAGAAGTGCTCTTTGTCTTAGGTTTCAGCTGAGCTGTGTCTCAATATGAGTCAGACACCTCCATCTGGTGGCCCAGCCATAAAATTCCCATGCCATGCTTTTTCAAGATGCTCTACATTTGTGTTGTTTCAAATTTCTGAGGTTTTAAATTAATAGCTTAATCTTATTTTAGATGTTTTTCTCAAAATGTATTTCTCATGCAAAAGTGAATGATAGTCAAAATAATTAGTGACCTTTAGGAAGCTAAGCATGTCTCATCTGTTCCTACAAATCACTACTAGTCATGAAAGACGGATGCATCCTTATGGCCAGTGAAAATAGCATTTTCTTCTATTTCTCTGAAGAGAAGAAAATAGTCTCTTTTAAATCGTTTAATATTTAAATTATCATTTCACAGTGATGCAGGCACAGCTCTTTTCAATATTCTATTTTATCAGCCTGTGATTATTTATTAAGAAACAAGATCAAAAGCCTCATTTTAAAACCAAGATATATTATCCCTTTTGCTTTCTCACAATTTACCAAATTAATTCCTTTATTATAGAGATATTTTTATTTTACATTATTTTGGCCGGTTTTCTTCCTGAAGAATCAATGCTGATGTTTATTCAACATACATAAAATTGGGATTATGTAGGGTTTTTTCTCATATATTTAGAATACTTGAGAATCTGCAAATATATAAATGTCATTTATTATTTAACTCAACTCATAATGGACTTTTTTCAATCATTAAACAACCCATCTCTCTATTCCATACTCCCAAATCACTGCTCTGTGCTTACCCCACCTCTACTCTCAAACCATTCTGATGCCTTCAGAATATGAGCTGGGACTCACATTTAATTTATTAAATGAGTTAATAAATGCTGTGTTTCAACAGAATCCTTTATTTATTTATTCTGTTAAATCCAGCCATCTACTTAAACAGGAATCTCCTCTTACTGTATATACAATTGAAATTAATATTGGAGAGTTCAGCAACTAACAAGATTTCTGATTAACTGTTACACAACATAACTTCTTAATCATGCCATGTTAATATTTATGAAGACTTTTAAATTTCTATTTGATATGTACTATCTCTCATCATCATTTCACCTGATTTTGAATGTGTATTAACTCTAACTAATTTTTCATCATCTTGTGTCCTGTATGAGAACAACAGTTGTCATTGTTAACTTACTCTGCATTTCAAATGTCATATAGATTATATACGTTTGTTCACTCATTCTTTTGATTCATGTGCAGCACTTTTTTTTCTTTTTTCTTTTTTTTTTTTTTTTGAGACGGAGTCTGGCTCTGTCCCCCAGGCTGGAGTGCAGTGGCGCGATCTCCACTCACTGCAAGCTCCGCCTCCTGGGTTCACGCCACTCTCCTGCCTCAGCCTCCCAAGTAGCTGGGACTACAGGTGCCTGCCACCACGCCCGGCTCATTTTTTGTATTTTCGGTAGAGATGGGGTTTCACCATGTTAGCCAGGATGGTCTCGATCTCCTGACCTCGTGATCCACCCGCCTTGGCCTCCCAAAGTGCTGAGATTACAGGCGTGAGTCACCACGCCCGGCCCATTTGCAGCACTCTTTAGCCATTGCCCATTGACTAGTAAAACTCCCACTTTGAAGAAATGAGAATAAAAACATTCTTGATTTTAAAAAATAAATTATTTTTTAGAATAGTAATATAACAGTATAACCAGAAAGGAATGTCCTTTTCCTTTTCAGAGGCGAGCTGCTGATAATTTGAGAAGACATCACCAGTACCAAGTAAGTTGTCCTTGTACTATGTCTTGAAATTTTCATTAAAATAAAATGCAGTCCCCCCTTCAGAACTGACTCAGGAGGAAATGTATTTACTCACTGAGTATCAATACTCTTGTTCTAAAATGCCTCAGGAAGTTATGAGGAACCTGGTGAAGCGATACGTCGCTGCAATGATTAGAGATGCTAAAACTGAAGAAGGCCTGACCGAAGAGAACTTTAAGGTAACCGTTTTCATCTCCATCACAAGAGGCAGATTGTGCAGAATATGGATCCAGATAGAGGACATTTAAAATCAGAGCTAGAAACGCGGCTGTGTGTTCCAGCAAGCCTGTGTGCCTTCTCATCTTTCAACTGAAACCCTACAGAACTGTAAAAATAAAAGAAAAGCTAGTGATGAAATTTCTTCTCAAAATACAATGTTTTCACACATACAGAGAAAAGCCTAGTGATTAAGGCATTCTGACTTACCTGATCCCAGAGTGAGCTTGTTTCTGAAATTTCAGCCTGATCTTAAAATCTGAAACATTTAGTAACTAACACACTAACAACAAAACTTCGTGTGTTCTGCAAAACTTTGATAGCAGAAAATTTAAGATTTGAGTTTAATTGTAACTAATACACTTAAAAACATTCTCCTTGATATTTTTTAAATTGTGTAAGAGGAAATAAGTAAAATGTGTGAAATACTATATTCTTGAATCACATGTTTAAAATAATTTAGGTTAAAATTATTTAGTTAGTGTTTAGAGATTTTGGAAGAATGATTAAGGTCCATAAGATCTTACAGGCCAAAACAAACAAACACATTAAACAAAATCTATAGGAGATATTTAACATAGAAAATAGCAGGTTTGAACGTGAGAATGAAGTAGTGAATTAGGTAAGAAGATAGAGAAATTACAAAACCTAAAGTGCAGGTTGAAAACTAGCTAGAAGCCCAGATTTTCTTTGCAGTCATAAAGTTCAAATTGTAATGTTAAATGATTCATGTTGCTTTAGGAGATAGGTTAGGGCAGGAAGCCACCAAGAAGGCTGCCATCAGGTTAAGACTGAGAATTCAGTTGCCCCAAAAGACAAGGAAAAAGGATGAGTCTAAGAAACGTCATTAGATCCGAAGAAATTCCTAGGATGCAGAGGCTGATCCAGATTTAGGGGGAAAGTCCTCTTTAAGACAGTAAACAACTGCAAGTAACTACCAGCTCTTAAAATGTTAGGCTCCACATAATTTTCAGATATCCCTGTGGACAGAAAAATGTGCCAATATTAAAAATCCTATGAAATACACCCCAGAGACAGTGAAGTAACTTGGCAGCAGATGACTCATTTGGAGAGGAAGTCTTCGAAACTGTAGTCCCAGAGAAACCCAATATACTCAGCTGCGCGTTGGTGGCAAAGATAACTCGTGTTTCTTTTTGCATCAACCTTAGGAAGTGTCCTTCCCAATTCCAATAAGGAAATTAGTAGACATCAAAATGACATCAAGTATCCGTGAGAGAACTTGGAATTCTAAATAGAACCACAGGAGAGTAGAATCCTTGTTTCTGAAAAGGAGTGAAAACAGTTCTGACCCATACATGAGACAAGAAAATGGTATTTCCAAATGTTTAAGTCCTAACCTAATTTTTCATTTTAAATTCTACATAGGAACTAAAGCAAGACATTTCTAGTTTCCGCTTTGAAGTTCTGGGATTACTAAGAGGAAGCAAACTTTCCACAATACAATCTGCAAATGCCTCGAAGGAGTCTTCAAACTCGGCAGACTCAGATGAAAAGAGTGATAACGAAGGTAATAGCAAGGACAAGAAAAAGAATTTCAGCCTTTTTGATTTAACCACCCTGATTCATCCGAGATCAGCAGCAATTGCCTCTGAAAGACATAACATAAGCAATGGCTCTGCCCTGGTGGTGCAGGAGCCACCCAGGGAGAAGCAGAGAAAAGTGAATTTTGTGACCGATATCAAAAACTTTGGGTTATTTCATAGACGATCAAAACAAAATGCTGCTGAGCAAAATGCAAACCAAATCTTCTCTGTTTCAGAAGAAGTTGCTCGTCAACAGGCTGCAGGACCACTTGAGAGAAATATTCAACTGGAATCTCGAGGATTAGCTTCACGGGCTGACCTGAGCATTCCCGGTCTCAGTGAACAATGTGTGTTAGTAGACCATAGAGAAAGGAATACGGACACACTGGGGTTACAGGTAGGCAAGAGAGTGTGTCCATTCAAGTCAGAGAAGGTGGTGGTGGAGGACACGGTTCCTATAATACCAAAGGAGAAACATGCTAAAGAAGAGGACTCGAGTATAGACTATGATCTAAGCCTCCCAGACACAGTCACCCAGGAAGATTATGTGACCACAAGATTGTGATACTTGAAGGAGGAAGCGTTTACCATACACATATATATTTTCCGTAGTGCTCTGGGTGTGGGAAAATGTTTAAATTCTATTAGCAAATGCTAACTTACACTTTATAGCGTTTCTCAACTGTGGCATATTAACCTGTAACATGTTTAAATAAGGCAAAGGCAATCAAAAACCTTTTTGTTTTGTAGCCTGCTTTTGCTTTCACAATTTGTTTTACAATTGTTTTTGTTAATAAATAAATGCACCTTGTATTCTTGTACTGTTGCAATAACCCACAGAAACATTTTAGCTATCTTTTTCAATTAAAACAAATGTCATTTATTTCATGTGATAGTTGACTCCTAAAATAGCTATTTTTATACGCAAAAACCAATGTGGCTGAAATATTATAGCTTTTCATAATTTTTTAGGGTCTCTAGAGAGGGTTCCTTGCCAAGGACTTTTCACCTAGTCCTACAGTTTGACTTTAAAACACAAATATTACCAAATTATTTCTTAAGGACATGTAAATAATTGTTGTACACAATTAAAGCAAGCAAGTCGTCTTCTCGTGCAGTCATGTCTAAACCTCCTCAAAGTCACAAATACTTTGCAGGGTTTTAGGTTGTTCCAGGGTTTCCTTTCAGTAAGTAAAAGAAGTGTTTGTCTTAATACATTTTGATGATTGATGATTTTCAATGACATTTTGTCAGAAAAAAACTCGCCCCTCCAGTTTTTTTTAATTACCTATTTCAGATTCCACTGCTTATCAGTATAAATATGAGTCTTTATGAATAACTGAAATTCAAAAATATGGCAAAAATTCTCAGTTATAGAAAAGAATAAACCATACTGTAAGCACATTTAACAAGCAAGATGATTGCATACTAATAATATCCAAATGAAAATGAATGTATTCTAAACAATCTAAATCTAAGTAAAGTTGAATTCCAGTATTTTCAATCAACGCGATATTGTAATCAATTCAAAAGAAGTACAAAAACCTAGCAGTCTCTTTTCACCAGTAATCATTATATATTTCTTTAAAATTAAAATCACTCAAAAATCATTATTAATTTTATCAGCAGATATAGATATATTGTTTTGCCTATAGGAAAAGCATTCTTATTTCTTGTTTTTCTTTCTGTTGTTTGCAAGATAATTTAGCTTATAATAATTCACTGAACTATTACAAGGAAAGTGTTCCCAATTTACATAAAATTGGTACTAGAAACTTAAAGCTTAAATTACATTGCTTGTGTCTATTTAAGCCACTATGGGAGGTTTCTTCACCACATAAAATTCGCATTTATTTCAAATAAATGGAAAAACGCTAAGTTCATTTTATTTCAAAAATTACTCTGCAGACCTCAGAAATTGCATATGGTTTATCATTGACCCCAAACGGCACAATGTTATGGGACTCAGTTTCTCATTAGCAAACATCAAAAATAAGGAATAACAGCAATAACAATGCCAGTCTCTGTTCTATTCCTATACACTTATTAACATATACGTACTGCTCTTAACAGCCCTCTGAAGTAGCTCCTGTTTTTGTCCCCATTTTACAGATGATGAAACTGAGACCAGCACTAACTGGCTAAGGTAACACAGCTCGTGATGGAGCTGTGATATGTCCATCAGAGCCATTCCCTTCACCACTGCATTGTACTGCCTTTCAGAACATAAAATGAGCAAGTTATAAAATATGCATATACAGGGGTTACCATTGCCACTTCTGAAGTCCCATACCTTGAGAGAGAATGAGTATGGTAAGCTTCATAAGCGTCCCTTCTTCTAAAGCAAGAGAAATGTGCAAAATATAAAATGTGCTGTATTTGATTCTTTAGACTAAATGACATTAAAGCTAGTAGATTTTAAAAACATACTCAGTATGTGATCTCAGAACTCAATTTGAAATACTAGATTTTAATTTTCAGAAAAGCCAGGAGCACTAAGCCCCTGTTCACTCCTAAATCTAGTTTTTGGGGACTTAAGAATGGACCAGATAGATTTGGAGAAACACAAGCCTAATGAATGTATTTATTGTTTCAAGAACATCTTTATCTTAAGTATATTAGGGCTCAGAGCAAATCCTGGGGCTACTCAATTTTTTCTAAATCATACATACTGTAGTAGAGAAATTGTAGGCCTATTCTTAACATTTGGGATATTTTCCATTAATTTCTTTTTGCCTCTCCTGTGCATTGCTGTTTCGTTTTGTTTTTTCCCAAAGTCAGGACACTATACATCAACATTATACATACTTTACCAGAATTTAATTTCAAATTCTCTCTGTTCCTTCAAGCAACACCAGTAACAGTACAAGCAACAAAACCTTTTTTCCCCAGTAGCTTATTTACAACAGGGGTTAAGGTGCTGACATTTTATAGGGGAACATGATGGTAGTAGAGGAATGTGTTTGGAGCAAGTAAGACCATCCTTTTCAGTGTCCTAGAAACGATGATTCTAACAACCCCCAGATGTTGCTGACAGATGTGTTTATGAGTATGAACAAAGTGTTGGATATTATTAGTACCAGCTGCTACTAATATAACTAGAATTGAATGCTATTCTAAATATGTAGTGATATTATGTAGCATTAATGAAGATGAGTAAGGATAAACTAAGAAAAGTAAAACAACAGCAGGATAGCAAGCAAAGAAATGTTATTTCTTTGAGGTCTGTAAGTGAGTACTTCAGGATTTTCATTTCTACTCAATATTTCTATCCACAGAAATTTCTAAATGCTACAGAGAAGTTTGAAATCACCTTCATTTACATAAACAATATTTCTCCTTTTTCATACTCTCTTAATCTTAAAAAATCTATTTTTCTTAAATTTTGTGTCTGAATTGGGTGAAGGAGCGTGTTGAAAATTCGGTTTAATAGACTAGCAGGTAAGTTTAAAACACTTTGTTTATCACAAGTATATTTTGGAAGCTCCATTTATAAGAAAGTATGCTATAAAGATGTACCTCATCATTTGTAATAAAGGTTTTCCTTAAAATTTCTGTGCAAATAAATCTATATTAACTTCAGTAAGGAAATTGGCTATATTTTTTTAAATGGTGGTGAATTATTTTATAAAACGATGAGTAATTTTTCAAAGTGCTAAACATACTCAAAATGTATCTGTTTCATGAGCTGAATATTTGTATATCAAATTTTCTTAAAATAGTTACTCTATCTACTGGATGGCAATTAAACTAATGCAAAAACATACTCACTTTCCTGCCTTGACATAGACAGCAACTTGAAATACTTTAGTGATCAAACAAATTGATGAAAAGTCAAGGATAGTAGACTTACCATGCTATTCTTAAAGAAGGAAGGTCAATTTTCTAGCAAAGGTGGAGGAAACATAAGTAACAATGGCATAAGAATATATTCTTCTAACATTTGATAATCCTTAATAACTCTGGGATTTAGTTGAGTAAATGACTATCCAGTCTCACGGCTCTTTATTGAAGAGAGGCCACCAAGTTTTGAAATCTGTCCATTCTTAGTCCTTGTGTATTGTATTTTTATCTGTCTTCTACAGTGTACACAGCTGCCTTCCATGCTCAGTGTCCTTAAAACTCAACCTAGTAAGAACCATCCATTGTGGCCCTGTAAACATGCTTACAATATATTTTTCTTTTTTGGATTATCTGAAATCCTGACTTAAAACTAACCATAGAATTTAGAAATTTAATATTACTGGCATTCCTCTTAACTCCAAAACCATGATTCTGATTTTACAATGTCTGAAAAGGCATTTTATTTATACAGTGTTATCACGTGCCTTTTTAAATTTAAATTTTAGAACCATGTTAAACAAGTTCACCGTAGATAACTGGGGAAAGTAAAGCCCAGGGAATTTATGGAAATTATCTAAATTTACCCAGGTGTTTGGTGGTCAAGTTGGGGGCTTAAACAAACACCTCCTCATCTCGATATTTGGATGAGACATCACATTATAAATGCTTTGACCACTGACTTTTTGTTTGGGGAACGTTTTGTCCTCTTTGCCCTTGTAGAAGATATAGTTGTCCAAACATTCAAGTTAAAATTCAGAATTAATACCATGTTATCTTTTGTTTTTCTACAAAGTTGTGTTCAGAGAATTTTTTCAAAGTTGGTTTCTTACTGTTTTCAGAAAATACACTGTTCATTTTCACTGAAAGTGTAGATTTTATGGTAACCTATATGCATATTGGTAATAATAAAATGTATTAAATAATATCAAAGCTTCTCAAATGAAAAACGATAGAGATGGACAATGTACAGTTAAGCTAAGATTGGGACAGTGGGACCAAACCTGGGTACAGTCACACCATTACTAGGCTGACAGTGAAGATGTCTCTGCAGGTCAAATTCACCAGTAGCAAAACCATTAATTTCCTCTAGAGCTGCACTGTTCAATAAGGTAGCTCCTATCCACATACAGCTATCAATCACTTATAAGTGTGACAAGTCTGAATTAAGATGTGCTGTAAGTGTGAAGCACACACCAGATTTCTAAGACAGTATGAAAATAATGTAAACTAGCTCATAAATATTTTATATTGGCTACATATTGAACTGATAGTATTTATGAAGTATTGATTTAAAATATACTAACTAAACGAGTTATGTTTCTTTTTTCCTTTTTCAATGTGGCTACTAGAAAAACGAAAAATATGTATGTAGCTTGCATTTGTGCCTTGCAATGCATTTCTATTGGACACTGCTGCTCAGGAACATTTGTATTTGTTTCAGTCAACTCATGTATCTCCATCATGTGAATTACAATGGTAGAAAATTCTGTATTTAATTATTCAAAAACATTTTATGCAGCTCTATTAAAGTTTGCAGTCTCTCCTTGATTCCTAATCTTCTAATGGAATCACTGGTCATAATTTGCTGTTTTTCCATGTTTTTCCTTTGCCTTTACAAATGTATTAATATACAAATATATGTGCAGCTATATAGGTTATGGTTTTATCATTTTTATCCAGAATTTCATCACACTATACCTATAACTTAATGTTTTTATCTAACAGTGTATCATGGAAACCTTTTCTAAAGTAATTAAATATAGAGGAGCCATTTGAATCTGTATAAATTCCTCCACTAGTTATTTTACCTAGTGAAATATTATCACATGCTATTTTTAAAACCATGATAAAAGAGCTACTTATTGGAGAAAACACAAGGTTTTGTTTTTTGAGACAGAGTCTCTCTCTGTTGCCCAGGCTGGAGTGCACTGGCGTAATCTTGGCTCACTGCAACCTCCGTCTCCTGGGTTCAAGCGATTCTTCTGCCTTA